GTGAACCAACCGCTCACCGAAGATCAAATTCAAACAACGATTTCACAACGTTATAAAGGTAATTTTATTCTGTGCTTATGCACCACCAAAGTATGTTACAAAAGTAGACTTATTGTGTGCTCAATGCACCACTAAAATTATGTTATAAAAGTAAACTTATTGTGTTCTCAATGCACCACCCAAAAATAGACTGAACTTAACAATTCAATATTCCTATCAACTAACTTCTTAGCCTGACCAATTCTGCTTATGTTGCAGCTTCCATGCTTTTGTATTTCCCAATCGATCAGTTGCGCGTGTAGGCCGATATTGCCTACCTTGCAATTCTCACGCTTTCGCTGGTTGTGTTTGCCCAACGTGATCGCGCTGTTGCACCGGTGCTGCATCAGCGAAAGTTCTGCGGTAAACCCTAAGTGGAGTAATGATGTGATCCATTAGGTAGCGTTAAGGAAACTTACATATATACATATTAGGGCTGATGATACCCGGGTACCCGATTACCCGGGTGTTACCCGGGGCTTTTATTACCCGGGTAGCCGGGTATTACCCGATTTGCCCGGGTACCCCGGTAATATACATATCGTCGCCTCAGAAAACGGATGACGAATGTGCAAAATCACGATTTTGGGATTTTGATGCAGATTTACTAAGTTGGACATGCTCTTTCGATTTCTGCAATCCATTTTTTTATATCTCCATTAGTTTTTGAGATATTTCGTGCGCATTTTGTCGTATGTTACATAATATTAATGATTGGGTATGCCTTTTGTTGTATGTGCTGAAAATGCGTCACATACGACAAATTCCCATACAAACGTACCTTTTTTTTAATCATAAAACGTTTGTCGTATGTGGCACATACGACAAATTCCCATACAAATGTAATCCTTTTTTAATCATAAAACATTTGTGTATTATCGCAAAACTTTGAACTTACGACAATTGGATGGTCCTCTACTATAACGATACAATTAAAATTGAAAATTAAACTAAGTAACTAATTTTAAAATTTTAAATTTTTAAATTTTAGCTTGCACTGAGTCTCCAATGAAATGAAAGAGATAAAAATGTACAAAAGACTGAATTTAAGTATTGTTTTTTGTTTTTATATAAAGAAAACGTATGTTCGTAACATATTTACAGCATAAGAGATGTACAGATTTTTTTTATTAAATACATGATTGTGTTTTTGTTATGTTTTTTCTAATAAGTAATCATTATTTAATAAATATGTCTGTTTTTTTCATCGAATTATACCATCGTCGTTGAAATAGATACTTTACTATTGTCGTATGTTCTGTGGACAAAACAAAGTGGTGAGTAAACGGTACTTACGACAAATGTATACGGAATGAAAAGTAAATTTTCTCATTAACGTTAAGAGATATTAAATGTAAAAATATGGGAAATCAAAACTAATAACACCAACTACGTCTCCTTCAAAAGTTACAAAAATCTACCGTACAGTTTCGGATTAATTCGACCTTAAACTTCAAAGTCAATTTTCTCAAAACCGTGTTTTGTAACATTCGACATCCGTTTTCTGAGACGACGATATGTTGGTGCCGGTTAAACGAAAAACATCCGGGAAATGCGACATAAAGCTTCTTGTATAATCTTTTTGGTGAGGATAAATATTTTTTCAGTGAGAAAATTTTTTATTTATAATTATTTTTTTATGTCTAGAATGTACGCGACTATGTACACCTAACCGCTGGCCTGAGTAGACGGAGACAAGAAAAGTAAATTAAAACAATAGTTTCTGTACTTAAATTCAAACTTCTAATTTTTGTAAATGCATATACATACATGCATGTGTACATATGTATGTATGTATGTATATTTAAAGAATATTAAACATTAATATTTTAAAACAGGGACCGAGAACAAAATGTATGATCGAAACTAAATGTCATTGTCGTAGTTTTGTTCCCAAGAACGCGTCAAAACCAAAACCAAAATGAGACTAAACCCTGTGGAACGTTCCCAGAGAGAACAAAATGCAAACAATATTTTCGGGAACATTTCTAAGAGAACAAAATGCTAACGTTTTGGCAAAGAAAAAAACGGGAACAAAATTCTGAGGAACTTACTCGCGAAGAACAATTTGGGAGCTAAAGTCCCAGGAACTTTGTTACAGAGAACGAAAAAGGAACAAATCTTCTCTGAACTATCTCATAGCGTTCCATTACTTTGAAATGTTTGAATATTAATGTTAATCAAAAAAAAAAACTGAATGATACGAGGGTCGTATGAAAACTACCCGGCCTTGAATAGAATAAAACGATTTTTTTAACGAAATTCAATTTATTTTTCAACATAATCTCCTTTTAGCTCGATACACTTAAGCAAACGTTTTTCCCATGTTTTGATCCCTTCCGAATAATAGGTTTTCTCCAACCCTTCAAAATAAGCATTTGTTGCTGCAATTACTTCATCATTTGAGCTAAATTTTTTCCCGCCGAGCCATTTTTTAAGATTAGGAAAGAGGAAAAAGTCACAGGGGGCCAAATCTGGAGAATACGGTGGATGAGGAAGCATTTGGTAGCCTAATTCATTGAATTTAGACATGGCTACGACACATGTGTGTACACGAGCATTGTCTTGATGAAAAAGAACTTTTTTTTTTCAACAAATGTGGACGTTTTTCCTTCAAAGCCTTGTCAAAATCACCCAATATTTTGCAGTAGTATTCGCCATTAATTGTTTTTCCTTTTTGTAGGTAATCAATATGTATAACCCCACGCGCATCCCAAAATACTGTGGCCATAACCTTGTTTGCTGATAATATCGCCTTTGCCTTCTTTGGAGCTGGTTCACCACGACGAGTCCACTGTTTTGACTGTTCTTTCGTCTCTGGTGTGGAGTGATGAATCCACGTTTCATCGACAGTTACAAATCGACGCCAAAACTCCTGGGGATTTGCGTTTAACATTGATAAACAATCATTTGAAATGGAAACACGTGTTTGTTTATGGTGTGTTGTGAGTAATCGCGGCACCCATCTTGCGGAAAGCTTTCTCATATCCAAATGATTTTGCAAAATGTTATTAACCCGTTCAATTGAAATGCCCACACTCTCACCAATCTCACGCACTTTCAATCTTCGATCACTCATTACCATATCACGGATTTTTTCAATCATTTCTGGTGTAGTGACCTCATTTGGACGACCTGAACGTTCCTCATCAAAAATGCTCGTACGGCCGCGTTTAAATTCAGCTACCCAATATTTTATAGTTGTTAATGACGGTCCAGAGTCTCCATAAACTTCGTTAAATTCCGATTTAATTTCGTCGTTTGTTTTCTTTTTCAAAAACAAATATTTTATCACTGCTCGATATTCAATTTTTTCCATGTTGACAAAAAGCACAAAAGTAAGTCAATTGTAACACGTATAAAATTTGTTGTAAATGTCATATCGCTGAGAAATTTTGACACGTGTTATTTGAAGAGTTGTATATTTTATCAAAATATTTTTTTTAGTTGTAGCAGCGCCATCTCTATTCAAAATCGGGTAGTTTTCATACGACCCTCGTAATTATGTATGCAAATAAAGTTTTTTTTTTTTTTTCTTCTGGAAGTTGAAATGGTTGGCTCTGGCTTAGAATTAACATCCGTGGATCTCACTGAAACAACTTTTCCTCCGAACACGAAAGACTCTTCTCTACGGCAGGAAATATTGTAACGGCGAAAAGATCGTGTTTGGCCCCCGATTCGGTTAACTTGCTAGTCTTCTTGCATCAAAATAAAAACTTGTTGAAATGATAATGTAATTTTTTTTTATAAATAATTATTAAAACTTGTTATGATAGTAACAACAAAAAAAGATCGTGTTATCACTGAGTCAATCTGATGATTTCTTCCCTGACAAATGGAATTTTGAGGTCTTGGTGAGTGGCATAGTTGGTGACATACCAAGGAGCATTAACAATACTTCTTAGGGCCTTATTTTGATACCGCTGTAGTATTTCTGTTTGAGTTACTCGCAGTACCCCATAGTTGCATAGCGTATGTCCAAACCGGCTTCAGCATAACTTTGTGCAAAAGGATTTTGTTTTCTAAACTCAGCTCAGATTTCGCAGCAAGCAGCCAGTACATTCTTAATGTTTTTAATGCAAGTTGACTTTTTTTCGCTTTAATATGCAATTTCCACGAAAACCTGAGATCAAGATGGATTCCCAAATAATTGACTTGATTGATAAATAAGGTTGCAAACGGTCAAATGAAAATGCGTCATGATACGAAGAGTCTCCACACAAATAGTTATGCCTATATATAATCGTAAATGCGTTTAATTTTTACCTCTCCACATTTTTTCGGGTGCCCGGGTACCCGGGTAATTACCATACTGCCCGGGTACCCGGGTAGCTCATTACCCGGGTGAAATCATCAGCCCTAATACATATGTACTTGTGACAATTATGAAAAGTTTAAAGAATTAAACCATGCTAAATAGTTATTAGAGTTGGACTTTTTAGTTCACTTTAATGATTAGTTCGTTCATCTTATTGAACTACAGTTCACCTAATTGAACAGGTTCCGCAGTAGGAGCTGAGTTACATAACAACAAAAATGTATGTATGTTTTATAACACATACATATTGAATTGAATTGCTCTTCGCTTTGGCACCTGAAAGGGAATCTCATTTGTTAAACAACAAATCCGAAAAACTGAACTCAAATATTTACTTTTTTACACAAATTGCAATACACATTGTAAAACATTGGAAATTCAATGAAATAAAATGTCCTTTCAGCGCGAATTCCCATCAATTTTTTCTTTATGCCCTTACAACGAAAATCGAGGTGTCATATGTATGTTTTAAAATTACATTTTCTTTTTTATTAGAGTGTTGGCAAGGAAAAGTTTAGTTCCCTTTAATGAACAAACTAACGAACTAGATCAATTATTTGAGCTGGCTCTTTCGCTCTTTAGTTGAAAAGCTCCCCAAGCCGACTAACTATGTATGAATAATTAGCTCTTTTTTTTGTTCAAGGTCTCTCTTCTGAGCGTGTGATTTTTTCAAACGTGGCTGCAAAAGAAGAACATGTCCGTCGTGGTCAATTAGCTGACATATGTCTCGACACGCCGCTTTGTAATGGACACACCACTTCTATGGATGTTCTTTGGACAGGAACGCCTGTAGTTACCTTACCAGGAGAAACATTGGCATCACGGTAAGTATTATTACAGTGATAGCATTAATGCTAAATATCCTATTTTGACTGGTTCCACTTCAGTTCAAGGAGGCAGTCCGTTTTTATATCGAGAATAAACTTCAGAATAAAATATGTTTATCTTTATTTTAATAATTTTTATAGCATTACTTTTGAATTTCTTACGAATTTTCTAAGATTTTGTCAAAAAGAATAATTTTGTGGCAATTTGTTTTAAACCTTGTAGTTCGGTGCCTAGATCTAGATCTAGAAACTAGATCGGAGATCGGTGCATACTTTAAAGCTAAAGTTTCTTCAACTGTATACTTTTCAGCAAAATTAATTAAATCTTACTCTCGATAGTCTGCGGCAGAAATGGCAAATCTGCCTCCGTTTGTTTAAAAATGCGTGTGCCACGCATGTAATATGCGTGAGTTTTGGGTAAAACACCGAGATAACCTTACCCGCTTTAGTCATTTACGGCGCTGCATCAGTAAAAATAGTAAAATTTTGTCTTTGGTGGTATATTCACCTAAAAGCTTTAGGGAATCAAACAAACNTGCGTGAGTTTTGGGTAAAACACCGAGATAACCTTACCCGCTTTAGTCATGTACGGCGCTGCATCAGTAAAAAATAGTAAAATTTTGTCTTTGGTGGTATATTCACCTAAAAGCTTTAGGGAATCATCAAACAAACAACCAATCGCCTCATGATCTGCTTTATCGAGTTTAACAGCCCGATTCTTTACACTTGATAAATACAAAATTTTTGTAATTTGCCAATTTTTTATTATTTATCAAGAATTGGAATGCTAGCACAGAAATCAAAAGTTATTTTCTTGATAAATTATCAAAATTGAAAATGCTGTTGATAAGCGTTTACAAATTGAAATTTCATATGAAAATTATAAATTTTGTATACTAAAAAATTTGTTTCTTTCATTTAAATACTGCATGTGTCGGCATTTGAAACTGGGACACACAGAATTTATAGCCGACATCTCTACCTACTCGTCTACGACAGTCAAAAGCTTTTTTGCTTTTAAATTCATATTTTTCTTATGTGACAATGAAATCAGTTCCACTCATGTGGAAATCGGTTCCCCTCTTGTGAAAATCGTAGAGCTTTTTTATTTTATAAATATTGACACAGAATGCGATGATAGCTTTTACTTGATAAAAGTCTTGATAAAATTTCTTTACAAATAATTTATCAAGAAAACAAAGAATTGGGCGGTAACTATATTCAGCAAAATCTGTTTCGTTGATGGAAGTTGCCCATCCAAGATTCCTATCATCACATATGCTATGTATACGGTGACCATCCGTTCTGTTTTTTGCAGGACCGTACTGTTTTTCAAAAGTCGGTCCTGCGTAGTTTTTCAAACCTGAAAATGTACTGCTTTTTTCCAAGTGTCCTGCATTTGCTCCGCATTTTATTCGTTATTTTAAAATTATCGGACAATGGATGGATTTTTACAAAAAAGTGTTTCTTGGTACTTTTCGTAGCTTTTCTTCAATATCTCATGAAAAAATCTCCCAATCAACGTAAGCGACTTACATCTCGAAGAGTATTGATGTGCCTCTTACCAAAATATATAACTTGTGGCGACTTCAATGAAAATTATAAGTGCTGCAGGCGACCATTTGCATTTTGTCGTCAATGTCGAAAAAAGTGAGATTTTCAATCAAATACGCAGTTTTATTTGATTATTTTTTTCATTAGCTTAAAAATTCGATAAAGAAGATATATCATTACAGCAAAAGATACAAAGATAATGAAAACTCGGATTAGAAATGTAGATGCTTTGAAGCGCACTCTGCACAAATTATATATTTTTGTAAAGGGCACATAAATACCTTTGTAACTCGTCGTTTACGTCGATTCATGACGTCGATTTTTGACAAATAACTGCGAAAAGTACCAAAAAAACAAAAAAAGGGTATTGTTTTCGTTTTGAATGACTCAAATTTGCCTATAAAATAATCTTTTAAAGATTTTTACTTTTCGTGTAAGCTATTGTAATTATAATATGTTTTACTATACTTTTATAAATATTAATTTAAAAAAAGATTAATATCGATTAAGAAAACGTGATTCATTTTTAAAGTTTAAAATGTATTAAGAATTTAGAATCATAAATACTCTTTTGATTTTTATACTACGTAAATATATGTAGGCATATTTTAGAAAAATTGTCCTTCATTTTGAATACATATTTATGATCACCGTAGCTATTTAACGCCCAACAGATTCAGTCGTTTCGTCAATAGATATCCACAAATATTTATTTTTCCCTTCAGTCCTTATATTAAGAATGGTTCATGTGTAAATCCGATAAACATTACGACGCAATGTGATTTCGGATGGTATATTTTTCAAAAAACATTCTGAGATTATTATTTCTTAATTTCTGCAGAGGAATGTCAGCAGACACAAAAGCTTTGCACATATCGTCCACGAATTGTTCATTTTGTGAATCGGTTGATTTTGTCTTATCAGTTGTTGCACCTCAATCATTTTCTTGGCCTGCCGCGCCTTATGTGTCACGCCTTCCAAGTGCTGCCTAATGGAAGAAAATTTACCTTCCGCGACAGATTTGTTGCACACCTTACAAAAAAGAATTTTTCCATCAGTCGTAAAAGCAAGAAATCGCCGTACATATAACGCAAGCTTTGAAGAGCATTTTTGTTTGATTCTTCCCATGTTCTGAAATGTAAAATTTTCTATGAATAATAGCCGTCATCGATTCGCCAACTGTTAGCAAGTGGCGAAACGAACGAACTCAATGAGGTACAACCAAACTCGCTATCGTCTAACTTTGTTGTTGCTTTCATATGCAAAATTCTTCTTTAAGCGACCGGGACTCAAACATAGCGAGCGAGAAGTGGCGAATCGATGACGGCTTATAAAGACTTCCATAACTAAAAATACTTACTTGTGTTTGATGAAATCCTTAGGGCTTTGTTACTAGCTTGCCAAACGAAATTATAATACGGGTCAGTGGCGGGACAACTCCCCTGTCAAGAGCGAAAAATATAGTATTCTCTTTCTCGCGCAGAAAAAACTTTATATAAATATGCTGTGAATCATGCTGTGAACGCGCACTATGATATTTATTTAATTTTCGACACAGTGTTACCATATTGTTATTATTTTACAAATTTTTATTATTAGTTCCAGACGTAACAACGCAATGCAAAGTATCCGAAAATACGTATTTATTGCAAAATATGCTTTTATCGTAAAATATGCTCTATGAAATATAACTCAAACTTTATATTTTTTTGTAAAACGTTTAAACTTTTCATCAGCATGTTGCTTACATGTCTGACAAAAAACATGCTCGAACATACTTTGAGTTGCCCTAGTCATTAGTAAGTTAACACCTTCCACCAGAGGCTTCAATTTTCAATTGGAATTTTTTCGTTTCCTATAAGAAATAAATTATTTTAAATTTTATTTTTAAACCTTGCAATACTGGAAACTTAAAATTAAATTGGAATTCATATTATTTTAAACTTTATGAAAAACAAATCCTATTTCTATTCTAAGGACAGTTTTCAATATAAATGATCAATTTTCCTGAATTTCTTAAAAACGAAAACAATTCAGGCAGAAAGGTGCGATTTTTGAGAAAATGTTTGTAAAAATATAGAATAAATATATGATAAATATATATTATAAATATACTTAAACGTAAAATATAGGATAGCTCTAATCGGTATTAGGCAAGTGGACATGGCGCCTACCATATAAATTAAATTTTTCATACTGCATTTGTACTGGGTTACATATAGCATGTACATACTTCTAAAGCGGGCAAAAATAGGCATAAGAAGAAAAAAAGGACAGAGAGAAAACAACCAAGACTGAGTGGTAGGGTTGCTGATGGGAAAAATGTTACAAAACGGGATTGATTTTTCGACCGCAAGGCGAGCAAGGAGTCTGCCCGCAACTTAAGAAGAAGTTTGGAAGATTGATAATTCCCGCAATAATTAGAAACCGCGTGGAAAAAGTTTTTATTATTAAGACCGCGAGTAAATCGTATATAAACTATTTGTGCCGATCAATTTGATTTAAATTGAATCAACAATTTATGGGTTTTAGCAGGCCGAGTTAGACAGAGTTTACCAATGATCACCGCTTTTGGAAGCATACCCAGTAATGGCGACTTTTCGAGAACCAATAATTAATCCTGTTCTTGTGGGAGCGGAACCATTATAGACTATCTGAAGGAAATAGCGATGAAACACGAACGACTGAATTTAGATCAATAAAATTATATATTGGTATCATATGTCGTAGAGGAAGGAGATGGTTAGGGTTCTAAAGTTTGTCAAATCGTTAAAATTTTTTTGTTACCTCAGAAAAGAATGTTAAGTTATTGTACGAGTTCGCGTAGGGTCTCGTTTTGGCATAGAGAGATTACGTACTTTAGCACAGAAAGAGGTACAGCTACCTGGTGTCGGCACTAGGTGAGGCATTGTAAAAGACATCTACTCACCGCGATATTTATCTATATATAATGCAACTAAGTAATGCATCTTTATGTTTTTTGTTTTTGTGAAGTTAGCTGATAAGATGAGTGTAAAAAGGAATATTTTAAAATTATTATTTTTTCTTAGAAATTGTGTATGAAGTACGTAAACTTAAGTAAAGTGAAAATATAAGCAAAAAGTTACGTACAGACATACCATGTACAGAGTGTTTAGAGTGCATAAAGAAAAGATAAATTCACATGTATGTATGTAGGATCAAGAAAATTACTAAGAAAATCTAAGTAAAGTGAAAGCGAAGGGAAAAGAATTCCTGTATACACGCGTATGAGGGTTTTTAAATAAACGAAGAGCAGTGAAGGTTTCGAAAATGCATAAAGCCAAGTAAGAAAAGTGAATCGAAATTAGAAAAAAAAGGGAAAAACAATATATACACATTTTTATAAACTAAAAAAACCCACAGAATTTCCCGCCATTTCACCGCTACGAGGGAAGCGCTTCACTCCGCCACGGTAAATTGTG